ATGTTGTTTTGTCACAGCAGTAGAAAAGTAACCGAGACAGTCCTCGGTGATAACAGTTTTACAAGTCTGTTAACCAGGCCTGCCCTTTACCAACATGGCTATGTTTTATAAGAGCAATCATTGTTTATGATACAGCATTTTGATCCACACTTGGTGTTGGAGTGGTTATATACACCTCATTATTCCAGTGACAATTAGAAAAGAAAATGGGTTCCTTGTTTGCCTGTAGAGACAAACTGTTAACAACATGTGAGATTTCTGGGCAATGTCACTAGGACCACAAGTGACCCATGGTCTGCTAGGGAGGTTTCTCAGAACATTTATACTTTATGGGGTCATTTTGATCATTAAATATTCATTTGTAACTTCAAAATATATCAGGTACTTAAAGTGTTCCAGATATTATACAATGTGAGTGAACATACACACTGTGTGTGTATATATATGTGTGTGTGTGTGTGCTTCCATCTATATTAATATACTCTAGGAGAGAATATATATATGTGTATATATATATATAGATATAGCACATTTAATTCTTTAAAGTAGCTAGTTCTAATTTGTCCTCCATTTTCAAGTAAGAGCATAGAATTGAAAAACCCCTGCTACTAAATGGTAGAGCTGTGACTCAAAACCAGATATGCTTTGTTAACCCCAAACCAAGATGGAAGGAGAAAGACCACTTACCCAAATCATCATGGCCAAATTAATTAAACTTTTCATTTATGTACATGGGCTGCCTCCCCCTAATGCAGGGTCAGCATTGAATGTGAGGAAGACAAGGCTTAGGGGGTTTCCAAATGGGGGATTTGGTGGGCAAAATAGATAGGTTAGGGGAGCATAAGCATAACAATTGGTCCTAATGACCTTCTGAAACAAAGACATGATTGCAAGGTGGGTATAACAGGGTAGTCATATAACCTTTTGAACTAAAGGTAGATTTGCAAGATGGTTATAAACAATTAAAAACAAAAACATGATTGTCATTCTTGGAACATGCAGTACAGAACCATTTGTAGTTAAGGTTGTAAGTGGGACATAGCCCAATCCTTGAAAGACAAGCGTTTAATCATAAGTAGTAATGAACTTAGTAGTTTGTCTTTACTATAAGATAGCTTTTAAGTCTAAGCTGGGGGCAGACTGCTAAATCAACATTAATAATTCTTAGCCATAGGAGAAGCAACATTAATTTTTTAAGAGTTCTTCCAACTCATAACATTCTATAGATTTCACACCTTATCCCACAATCATCATGAGACTCAAAGCTATTGAAATAATGTGAGCACGCACACATGCACGCGAGAATACACACACATTCACCCCTTTTCATATAGAGATTAGTGTCAAGTACATTTCCCTGCTCCCTTGGTTGCTTGCAAGAACTAGAGGCTTGATACAACAGAAAATTTGAAGCCACAGATGTTAGTAAATTTTATGTCTACTTTTTTTTTTTTTGTTTTGTGTGTGTGTGTGTGTTTTAAGAAAACTGCTTGAGTGATTTGGTTTCCATTATTCAGTTCATATGCCAAGAAAAGATGAGGAAACTGGATCCAGTGATTTCCTGAAGGTAGAGGAAGCAGTGAAGGCAAACCTTTGGGCTATTTTCTCCTTCTCCCCTGGAGTTGCATGGGCCCTCATAGAGGGTATGGGAGGTTCCTTTCAGTCCTCACCACAGGAGATCAGCAGGGATGAGGTCCAGAAGTGTTGGGGGGGAAGGAAGGAAAGTTGCAAACTGAAGGAGACCTATAAAATATGTAAGCAGTACTATACCATCAAGAAATCACCAGGAGCCCCAGGAATCAAGACCATTAAATATGGTTTCCTGAAACAGAAAATGACAAGATTTGAACATTTCATGTTGACATTAGGGAAAGCTAAGCTAATTTGTTTTATTAATCTAAAGTCTTTCTAAAATTTAAAGTCTATTTTAAAAGTACAAATAATGCCTTTTGACTCAGAAGTTTCCCTTCTGATACTTTTCTTTTGAAATTATTAAGGATTATTCATCTGCATCGATATATGTCACAGAGATATGGGAAATAGTGAAAAGATAGAAATCCTTTAAATATCCAATATTTGCTATATTCTAAATCTATGCATTTCAATCATAATCTTAAAGAAATACATTTCTTGATGAGGAAAATGTTCATGACTGACTGATGCTTGAATGGGAAAATTAGGTTATAAATGAGCTTAGGAATTATGAGCCAATTTTATGAAAACTATACATGCATAGAAAAGACAGATGCAAATATATTTCAATGTGTTAATGGGGATTATCCCTGGTGTCTGGTTCTATAGAAAGCCTTTTTCTTTTTCATAGAAGTAGTACCCATTTAGTATAGAAATAAAAGACATCCAAAAAGTTGTATTTTTTTTTTCTTTCTTGAAGTAACTTCCGTTTTTAATCTGGCAGCAGCAAAGGATTTGGTTCTCAAGAATAGAGTTCTAAAGCAGCTGTGGTATGAGCTGGCTAAGGAGCCTGCCTGTCACTTCCACGCCTTTACTTCCCTGTAGTAGGACACTGGCTGAGAGGCTTGTAACCTTCCATAGATGCAGGGCTAAGCACACACTTGTGTGTAAGTGTGAGGAGCATCACCCCCTGTTCCTTTTCCTTTAATATCATGAGAAACAGGTTGTTCTATGAAAATATGCTTTCTTTTTTCTTTAAAAGTGGAACAAGATATTTCCCCAGCCCCCATCACACCAAAGCTGTGACATCCATGTGGGTGACTATGGTGCCCTTCTTATTTACTCTGGGTCTGACATCCAACCTAATACACAGTAGACAATCAATAAATATTTAGCGGTTGAGGAAATCAATAAATGATACGTCAGAGTCATGGGGTCTCATGCTCCTAACAGTGTGATAATTTTCTTTTCAGGCCCAGGAACCAGAACTCTCTTAGGGTAATAAGAATAGATTTTGTCAGTCAATACCTGTGACCTTTCCCTGAGCTACTCCAAGTTTAATATAGTTTTATAATGAGCCTGAACACCAAGCCAGGCAGTGGTAGTGCATGCCTTTAATCCCAGCACTTGGGAGGCAGAGGTAGGTGGATCTCTGAGTTCAAGGCCAGTCTGGACAGTTCCAGGATAGTCAGGGCTACACAAGAAACCCTGCCTCAAAATACCTACTCACCCTGCCCCCCAAAATAAACTGGAGAAGAAATCATGTATGATTTGATAGTCTCAGTTTGGGGTTGGGATTGGGGTTGGGGTTGTTGACCTCTGAGACTATGATGAAAATCTTGGCCTTTCTCAGACAAAGGGACATACAGACAAAAGTCTGAATACAATTTCAGTAGGTTCATGCACACTTTATCTCAATAATGCTAAAAAGTGAACTGCAGCTTAAGGAAAGGGCACAGTCACCATCAGGCTTCTCATATTAGAAGTAAGACTGACAGAGAAACCAAAAGATCTTGCTCTGAACCAAGGAGGAGAATATGAGGCCAATTTTATCTGTGCTTTGATTCTGGCCACAACCTTTTTATAAAAGACCCTTTGTTTCCTTTGGGACAGATGCCCCCAAATACTGCTCTAATGGCAGTCTTCTGGTCAGCTCTACCTACATGCATCTTTTCTCCTATGATTGAACAACCAATAGGAAAAGAGTAAGGCAGAATTCTGATGTGGCATATTACTGAATTGGCTCTCCTGGTTTCTAGAGTATACTCCCCTTAATTGTAGGCCTGTATCTTAAATATTTGTACCTACTACTAGAATATTTTCTATTGACTGTTTCCCCAGATGGAAACAAAGAACACAGATTTGTATAGACAAAGATAATCCTTTCTGAGAACTTTTCCAGGTCATAGCTGGGAGCTAATAGACTATACACCATTTCTGTTTCTACCGAGCTTGAAACCTTAGACTTCCAGCCAAAATTAAACCTTGATCTCAAAGGACCCTAGCTTCTTATTTGGAGAGCTTCAATTTCTTCATCTGGGCAGTGCAGAAAATAATAATTCCAATAGCCTGGGATTAGAGTGAGGAGTGATAGAAAGAGTGGGTGAACAACCAAGTTTCAGGTCATGGAATTTCTGTGTTCGGGTCCAGTAAGCAAGAAATCAAGCTGGCTCTTGTCTGTGTTTGAATCGGTGACCTCTAAAAGTGGATGAGGAGTGCCTAGGCAGGTTTGCTGCTTTTGCCTTTCTGTATGTGTGCTCACCCACTGCCTTTCTTTCCCAGGACCAGTGGTACCTTGTGCATCTTAGTAGTAGCCAAACCTTTGGGACTGGACACTTGTGTTTTGTCACTGAAACATTGACACTGGAGTCCTCTGGTTGCGTCAGTAGTGACTGTGACTATTCTTTTCAAGCCTGTCTATTCCTCCTACCCTTTCTTTCTGTTGCTTTTGGAAGTCACTGTTGAGCACTTGTGTGTGTTCATTATATAACTTCTAGATGTGTAGTCATTGGTAAAACAGTATTAATGCTACTCTTATATACTTCAGTAGAAAGGGAATGAGAATACCAAACTATAGAACGTGATAAGGGCAAGGAAGGAAGGAACACAGAGAATGACCCAGTGTCCTGTAAGGTGGAGCACTTCCTGAAGACTGACTCTGCAGCATGGGTGAGACCTCAGCTCCACCCAGTGCAGAGTGCCATTCGTTGCTGCTTCTTGTTTTGCTGACCTAATAATAGGTGGCCTAACATCTAAAGGAAATCAAACTCCTGATTTCTACCAGCAGTTTATTTTGCTCATTAAAATTCTAAGTCTGGTAATACCCCTTACTTACTGTATGTTAGTTACTGTGTATTTTACATGTGTTATAATTTGATATTCTCATAACCCAAGATAATAAGTTTTTAATTTTCATGATCACTGTAGTTAAATTTAGAAATTACAAATCAAAGAAAGTAAGGCACTTACCTGTGGCCCTGCTGCTCAGTCGTGGTATTTAGTCCCATGAAATTGTCTACCTGAATATGTCTTGCCTCCCTTCCTGTGATTGCTGTCAGAACTCACCTGCTTCTCCTTTTCCTTTGTAGTGGTGCCAGTGAAGAAGAGGACACATGAAGACTTAACATTCCCCGTGGAAAACACCCTTCCCTGTGTGTGTGTGACAGCGTGTATGTAATGGCTTCTGATATCTGTGAAAGCTGCCTGGCAACAAACTTCTTCCACTGGATATGTCCCCAGGTCCACAGCAGGCACACATGTCTCCAAGGGACAACAAGTTTTATGCATACTGACTGTGCATCTTGTTCTCATGTGGTAGGTCACAGGAAGAGCCCCTTTGATCAGCTTGGAGGTTCTTCAGGCAACTCCCCCAAAGGCCGCTTGGAACTGACTTACTCAGGAAAGCCAGCCCCTGGAATATTGTGCAAGTCAACAATATCACTTCAGTCCTTAGGAAGGTTCTAGATTATCTTGAAAGGAAATCAGTTTTTTCCTTACCTGCAAACAGAAAACTCACTTTGCTCTTACAGAAGCTTAAAGCAAATGTGGCCAAGTAGGACTACACTGACTCATTAGATAGTCTCATAGTTCAGCTCTGCCTTTGTGAAAGACATTAGGGCAGCTGGGTGGAAAATGGGCTTGAAGGAAGAGTCCAGAGCTAGAAAGAAGATATTTTTAGTATGTGAGGTTATGTAGGACTTCAGATTCATAATTCAGTGCCGTGGAAATGAAAAAAGTGATTGAAGAGGTAGGAAGGAAATGACTTTAAGGAGTGGGGAGGGGGGGAAGCAAAGAAATCTGATTAAAAGTTGAAGTCAGTATTTCAGAATTCAGATTGCCTGAATTTTCCAAAATGGTCACTAAAGCATCTGATAAAATCTGGATTCTTGGGCTAGCTGTGTGGATTAATAGGCCTGCCACAACACAGAAGGCTGGCATGTATATTGCCAAGTGGGAATTGTCAGCTGTAAAATTTACCAGTTCCACCCCCCAGCCTACAGTGGCTTCGGTGCACCGTGAGGAGAATCCTTGCCACTCTCTTGCTGGCTGGATTCAGGTCCATCTGCCAGCAAACATTCCCTCTACTTACTATAATGGGAATCCTCCTGTCCCTGCAGCAGCCCTTCACTCCACCTCCCACACCTCTGCTCTCCCCTCCTGTGTAGCATGAGCAAGCATGCCCTGGAGCTATATTTTCTGGCCTTATCCCATTCCTAGATCAAGTTCCTTACAACCATGCTTTTCAGAGTTGGGGAAGCAGTGGTGTGCTGGGAGATACCCAACTGCAAGCTCACATGTGTGTGCCACATCTTCTGGAGACATGAGTTTTTCTTACCAAATGATTTGAAGTCGGCGTAACCTTATTTTTTAATAGAGCAAGAAGTTATGTTAGAGAAGAGGGTGTTCATGCACTTAAACTGTTAAGATAAAATAGGAGACTTGGAAGGTAACTCTTGTTTGCAAGTGGGCAGTGTATTCCTTCTCCTGCTTGTGTGATATTTCCATGTTCACAATGAGATTCTGTCTGAACTGTATCCAAGCAGCCTTGGGTTGCTATTGACCAAGGTCTAGACTTCCAGTATCTCTGAGGCAGATCCAAGGAGTCTGCCTTGGGGAAAATCCCCCTTTGCCTGCCTGCCTGCTTGCCTATAACCTGTGTACTTAGCACGAAGCTCTAAGAGCAGCTAATGTGTGTACAGGATAGTTCTGAGGCAGAAACAACATGTGCTTACTGTAGGAAACCTAGTTATATCATTGTTCAATCCTGTGCATGCTATAAAATGATTATTCCTTTGAGGTCAGGAACCTGCCAAGCCTAGATGCTCTAGGTTAGGATTACCCTAGCTCACTACACATACAAGGATATCAGAGCGGAGAGGAGTTAAGATATCTATATTCCCACACTGGTGGCTAGTAGATAGATGGCTTAGACAGGTTTGATGCTTTGCCATCTTTCTGCAAAGACTGGAGAATCTGAGGTAACAACCTCCAATGATACCCTGTTTTTTTAAAAAATTCTAAAAGAAGAACCAAACCCACTCTAGAAGGAATGCAGAAAATCAGAAGATTAAAAAGCCTTCAGAATTTGGAAACTTGTGTTGTCTTTCCCCAGTAATCATTGTTTGATCTTTACATGTTGACCTTGTATTACCAATGGGCAGATCATTTGGCTTTCCATACCTAATCATGCTATTACTTTATATCAGTATTTGGGGAATCCAAACTTTTATGTAGTGGCTATAAACAGAAATATAAAAATATTTGTCAACCTGTCTCTATAGATTATCATCTGTCTGGGATCCTCAAGGAAAGCATTTCCCTTTACTTAGAAAGGGTTTGGATTTGCTTTATGGGCTCCTGCAGTCTCCAGCACCTGATAAAACTTTAACCAAGAAAGCATTAAACACAGGAGAGCAGTTCTGCAGATCCCTCAGGTCCTGTGGCAACACTTACCAGTGTGAGAACTAGGGTGCTTTCTGCAGTGGTGCCAGCTTCTTCCTCAGAGCTCGGGCTGCTGCTTGGCCTTGGGCCCCATCACCAGGAAGCTTCTTGCCTTCCAGGTCATTGTGAGTTAGAGTTGTATGTGTCCTGACTGACTGTGGACAGCAGGGGGAAATCGGGAACACAGGTAAAGAATGTCTCCAGAAATGAGTCGGGTACCCACGGCAAGTCTCGGCAGCCTTCTGAATGTTGAGTTTCTGAGGGATTTGTTCTTTGATTTGATACCACTATATTCAGGACAGTTCCAAGAAGTGTTTGACTTCTAGCTCTGACAGCCAGGAAAAGGAAGTAACCTGAGGACAGTCTAGGAGCCAGGCCCTCTGTAGATGTGCCCAAGAACAAGTAGACACTTGTCTGTAGTTGCTAGGAAACACTGGAAGCAGTTGTGAACACAGTTCTCCTGCTCTGCAATCAGCCTTCTGCCCTATACCATGACTCACCTACAGATTCAGAGAGAGAAAAGGCCTTCAGTTCCCCCAGTACAGTATGCCCATTCACATTATAAACTATTTTTCAAAGACATCAAGATGGCCGTATTCCTCTGCTTTAGTGGATGTTGTTAAGTACTCATTGTTAACTTGAACTTCCTTCCAGAAGCTGGGGACCTTTTCTTTTCAGTGCCATCGCCACAAAAGAAAAAAAGGGGTATTTGACCTTCAAGAGTGTAAACTTTTCAGACATAGTCAAGGTTACAGTAGACTCAATATCTCCTGCTTCATTACTATAGAAAAACAAATCTTTATATTTTAGTAAATCCAGTTACCATTTTCTGTGCTCTGTTAAAAGGTGCCAATTCAAATCACTGACTCTGGACTCCCTTCCTGGTGTGTGTGTGTGTGTGTAAATGAGACTGAGATTTATACACACATGTGCATACTATACATTTAATTATTTAAGAGTTAGAGTCACTTCTTCTAACTCCATACAATGTCAACAGATAATTGGAGTGTGGGTTCCAGAATAGTTCCTAGTGGTAGGTACCAACTTTTAAAGCACTGAGCCAAGGTGACAGCCAGGAAGGAAATTGCACCAATTACACCCCAACCCCCTTCCACCATGTCTAATAACATGGGGAATTTTGGTGACTTGGATCATTTTGGACATTCCATTTGGGACTGAGTATACAGCTGCAGAATTTATAACCTTGTAGTAGTCAGAGTTCTAGGAAGTCCTATCTCCCCACAGAGAAAATGTCCTGCTGATTCCTTAACATTCTGCTTTCATGTAATAGCATTTAGTACATGCTTTTCAGTAAATTGGTTGCATATTTACTGGGGGTTGAGCACATCTAGATTTTTGTTTTCTAAAGACAAAAATCCCAATCTAAATCAAGTCCAGCCCTGCCCTAAGGGAACAGGCCCACAGGGAGACCGTAGATCTCACTGACCCTGCCTTCACCCAGCAGTGTTTCTGAGGCCCACACCCCAAGGAATTCCAGGAACTGCAGGAGCTAGGTATTCCCCAGGAAAACAGGAGCTCATTTGGATCACTTAGCCTTACATGACCATGTGAGGCTGAGAACATATCAGAAACACCAGGACAAAGGCCAGATCAGGAAAGTCAAAATAAATGAAGATATTGGAGGTGCACTGGTGGAGAAACAGCCAGAGTCCATGCTGGGCTTGATGTGACCTTGAGGGACCACTGATGTATACTTTATGGAAGTTAAACCTGACCAGCCTTTTACAGTGACAGGCCACACGCGTGAGTGGGTAGAACCAACGGATCCATTGTCTTCTGCCTGTTTTCGTGTACACAGTCACATTCCCTCCTTAGCCGTCTACCCTTTCCACCCTTTATACTAAACAGGGGAACACTCAATCTTTCAAAGGAATTACATATCTGAGTTAATGTTTCAGTATATCATTTTCATACTGTAAATTATTTTGTAAGAGAGATTTACTGCTATCCCAGGATGTTCGGACTTGGCGCCCCTGTGCATTTGGAAATCAATAAACTATTACTGGAAATATCATTTGTCTCTCAGAGTTGTGCACAAAGGACTCTGCTAGTTATAAATATTCGTGATGATCTGCATATTTAGCTGTGACAATGCTGGAGGTGATGTTTGTGTTATTAGATGTGGGAACCTAGTTTACTCCTGACTTCCTAAAGTGCCTTAGGAGACCTCTGGTGGGTGACAAAGAGTAGACCAGAGAACCAAGCCAAATGAACAGTGTCTAGATTATATTAGATTCCATATGTGGGTAGATTATAAGGTCAGCACTATTTCCTCCTGTGATCTGTTCAAACACCACTCACAGCTTAACAACTTTGGTGGACTAGGAGGAAGGTCAAAATTTAGTTTTTGACAAAAGGTCTTTAAAAATAAAAACTAGCCAGCACTCTTGAGCAAATTATAGTTAAGCTAGCAGAGCCATCTTTGTGGAACTTTAAAAGTACCTGTTTGGATAAAATTGGTGAGAATTAAGTAAACAAACTTCAGTCTGGCTTCAAGGTTGTATTGAAACCTGGAGTCATGTACTCATGCCTTCAGTAGCCAAATGTGAAGATCAGAGATGCTAGAACTACATGGATCTGAAAATGCAAACCTTCCCCCAAAGCATAAAATTTGATGTATCAAAATCCTAAATGCCACCGGCAAGTATGTTTGTGAACCCTATTCTAATTTCCATCTATCAAATATGTCTTCATTAACTCTATGTGATACTATAAGAACTTTGGGGAAAGGTCCTTTTTAATTGATCATTTTTTTATTCCATTTACATGTAGCCTCATTTCCTTTAGACTCTTCACAAAAGTGAAATTGCATCTTGTCTGGAATATCTCCTGGTCTTCACAAGGTCATCTAATAAGCCAACCTGGGTTAAAGCCCCAGGACAGAGACTGTCTCCTGGAGCAATCATTTCTGCCCCAGTTGCTGAGGGCACCTCCTTTGCTGGGCACTGGGTGTGTGGCATATTGCCAGGCACTGTAACGCTTGATGGTCTCCAGCATTTCAAACCACAATGTGTTGGAAGATCTTTGTCCTGCTTCCTGGTGCCAGTGCCTCAATACCACATCCTGCTGCCCCAGTCCTTTTCATTTTATTGTCTTTAGACAGCTTTTTTTAATTGATTGTTTCTTGATTCCATGTACATGTAGCCTAATTTCCTTTAAACTCATAAAAAGGTGAAATTGTATCTTGTCTGGAATACCTCCTGATGGTCATAAGGCACCAGAGTAACATATGCGCAATAGAAAATCAGACTACCAGTCTTTCAATCAGAGAGAATGATGTTCAGCAAACACATGAGAAACAAGACTGAAGTCATTCAGTGGCTGCACTGAATATTTGTTAAATATTGCAATTTCCGGTGTTAAAACATTTATTTTGTTAACAGTAATAGCTACCATTTAGTGAGCTCTTTGTGTGGGCCAGAGACTCTGCTAGTTGCTTTTCACATTACCTTATTTAATTCTCAAAGCACTAATACTATCATCTTTTATTGTATTGCTCAGAGATCATATTTAGAGATTTAAGTACGACAACCAACGTATATTTTAATAAGCAGCCAGCCAGGACTTAAATAGCCAGACTATCAGACTGTGGTGTCAATTCTTCACTCCTGGCTGTACTGACTCCACCTGGTATTGATAAATAACATCATGCCCTTGGCACTCTCTCCATACGGTTCAGCCTTGGGCAAATAAATTGCTAGCCCTTGCTTTGTACAGAAGAGTAAGGGAAGGACTAAAGACAGTATTGCAATTTTCTATGACCCACTTTAGGAAGGAGGAAACCATTGGACTTGCTTCACCTCCTTCATTTTAAGGCCATAAATAATAGAATCACCAGGAAAGAGCTTTGACCATGGACTTAGAATCTCCAGATGCAGCCAACTCTGACACAGAGCCTATAGTGTAAATGTTATAATGTCTCCAGCAGCTTGATGTAGTCCTGCTTCATGTTCTTGGAAAGGGGTGGCAAAAGAAGCTATGTGTTTCACAGTTCTGTGTCTGAGGTGGCCATAACATGCCATTTGCTGTGTAAAAAGGGATCACAATCTTCATGCCGTTTGAGGTTTCCATTGCTACCATTCACCTCGTTTCAGCCATCTGATAATTTCTTTTATTTGTGGTTCCCGAACATAAAATGCAAACAAATGGCTGGAGAATGAGTAATTGAGACAACTGGGAAAATCTTAACAGAAGTGCAACCCACTGAAAAGTGACTAAAAACTAAGAAATAAGCAGTCAAGCCTTGTACCAAGTGGAAATAAACACCAGGAAGCAAGCATGTGAGAAAGGCCATACATCCAAACATCAGGCACCAACCCAGAGCTCAGCTTCTCACGCCTCCCACAAGTCTAAATATTTGATTAGTTTCCAAGTGTACAGGAGACTACATTTAAGGAAGGGGGAACAGACTTCCAGGGACACCAGAGGAAGGAAGAGTGACAGCAATAGACAGGATAAAATGTCAAGTGGACCAAATGAGCTGCAAAACTCATTTTAGAGAGGATATTTAGTATCAAAAGAATCTTGCTGTATCATATTCAAATAATGACCAAGCATCACATACACACACACAAAGTGCTCAAAGGCAAGTATTTGTACAGTAAATAGTTTTAGATGCTTGTAACACAAGACAGGAGAAAGAGAGAGAGAGACCTGCTTGGATTAAAAGAAATAAACCTTTGACAATCCAGAACATTTAGCTAAACAAAATATACATCCACTTAGCTGAGAGTTCATTGTCCCGTGAGCCTCTTGTGTTCAGAGAGGTTTTTTCCCTTATCTTTGTAAGTGACTTTCATGCTGCAGTGCTTTGCATATAATGCCATGAACAATAAAAGTGCCAAGTTTTCAATGTGATGAATAAAGCTAATAACCAGAATACAGGTCAAATTTTGCAACAACAAATATTGCTATTATGAAAATCACTTAGGCATCCCTAAGCCCCTGTCAATTGCCCATTTTATTTTAGGCAATAGTCATTACAACAAGATGAGAAGTACAGTAAAAAGAAGCTAGACCCTCTCTGCAAATTGAGTGTAACACAATTTAACCTATAATAACAGATCGTCACTTCTACTTCAACTCTGTGCTGTAAGAAGAGTAAACCTTAGCATGAACACAATACCAGCCTAGAAAGCTGGTGGTTGATTTTTCCAGGAGAAAGAATTCAGGAGCAAAGTGAACCGTTCCCTCCCTAGAGAACTTCATCTATGTTGGAGCCGTCATCCAAGGGGTAGCTGACTTTAATCCCGATGGAGTACATATTCTAAGCCCTGGAATGACGAGCAATTCATTCCTCATGGATCTTAAGGACTTTGGGGTAACCTGTTCCTGATTTGATGACCCAAAGATTTTTTTTTAATCCAGGAGCATTCATGTGGAGTTATCTTTCTGTCCTGTGAATACTGCATGGTTATAAAATCGTGCACTGCACCAATTGTGTGTAAATTGTGTGTAGAAATAGTGTGTTAATCTGTTTCACTCCATTTGGTGCACAGGGAAGGATTTTTCTGTAGCTTTTTGCTGTGGTTATTGATCAGTTTTATCTCTTACTGTAATGTTATCAATCAACCATCTTCCTTTCTTTTACTTACATGGTTTTCATTATTTCTTTGCAAGCAACATTTTGTATACCTTTAGCAGAAAAGATTAAATCATAATTCATTTTAGAACCATACAGTCAGCAATAGGAAAGGAGGGAGTTGGAAATTGCCCACATTTTCCCAATGAAAATATCTGGCCCAGGTCCCAGATTCATATCATACCCCAAAGAAGTCCATAAATTCTGGGTACCACTCAGCTAGCAGACGTGGTGTCTTCAGACTTCAGGGTAAGATGGGTCTGCAGGCATGCCACTGCAGGAAATTCTCCACTTGCTTGCCTCTCTAAGCCAGGACAGTTTAAAGCACTTCTATGCCCCAAGTCAGGAGATTGGGTTCAGAAGGGGCGACTGCTCTGCTTTGTCTTGAGAACACTGAGTCCAAGGATGCAGCTGTTGGCTGCATGCTATATTATTATAACATCTGAAGGTGAGGGGTGTTAACTGAAAGTAACTTTTCTTTAAAAAATTTTTCCCTCACCCCCATTAAGAGACCTTTTGGCGAATACAGGTAGAGGCTGTATCCTAGAATCAAAGCCAGCTTATTACAAGAGGCCAGAAACACAGTAGAAGAATCAACTTAAGAAATGGTCATGGTGGTGGGAGTGTGAGGAGGGTGGTTTGGGGTAGAGATGATAAGCCATTGATAGCAATATAAGTGGACATTTTCTCCTGTTAAATAGGCAACAGATTGTTGCAAGCTACGGTCACTATTGTGATACAAAAGACCAAAACTTACTCCTCTTGCCGGGCGGTGGTGGCGCATGCCTTTAATCCCAGCACTCGGAAGGCAGAGGCAGGCGGATCTCTGTGAGTTCGAGACCGACAGCCTCCAAAACAATACAGAGAAACCCTGTCTCATAAAAACCAAAAAAAAAAAAAAAAAAGAAAACTTACTCCTTTTAAATAACTATTTTGGTCGCCATTACCCAAGCCCTCTGTATTCCCTGCCCTTACAGCCTCCAGTTCCTCTATTCCACTATCTTTCTACGAGATTAGCTTCTTTAGATTTTACCTATGAGTGAGAAGACCGTATTTGTCTTTCTGAGTCTGATGTATTTCACTTTACATCATGTCTTCCAGTTCATTCAAGACAGGATGAGAGGCTGAGTCTGAGATCATGCCCAGGCTGGGTTTACATAAGCAAAACCCTGCCTCCAAAATAACAAGAAAAGAGGAAAAAATGTTATTTTTTCAACACTTAAACCAGCTCTATTTGTTAACAGGTAGATTAGAACCCATTTACCCTGGAAGATAGGGCCTATCTGATCCAAGAAAAGCATTCCCATTGAAACATACCTAACCCACATTTGTTGAAACTATACTTGCCTGTTATTTACTCAAAGTTGCCTGCTAAGTCCTCCCTCACCTCTGGCAAGAGGACAAGACAGAGAAAGAATGAAGGCCCCTTGGGT